ATTGTTTTTTTACTAGATTTCTAGCTCAAAAAAAAAAAAAAAAAGCTTTTTTTTTTTTAAATCTGTTTTTGTTTAAACTTTTGGAACCATCTAGCGGAAAAATAAGGGCCTTGAAACTGTTACTGGTTTCTGACTATAATTCCCACTATACTTTATTTCTCTCCCTAGCTTAAGTACTAATAAGGGAGCCAGCAGGCTCAAGCGAGAATCTGGTATATGACCTGGTGAAAAGACCATTTGGTTCTAAGACCTGTAAAAAGATGGCTGAAATGAGGTCATATTTGCCTATACTCAGACAATGGGAAAACTAATTTTGCAGATATGTATGCCCAGCTGTAGTTCTGAATTATGTCAATGACTGTCGCAGTGAGACTTTATCCTCTCAACTCCAGGTAAATGGGCTTTTACATTGCAGAAGCTTTCTGGGAAAAAAATTCTCCTGGCATAGAAACTGAGCATGAAGATGCATGAGTTTACCTTAAATTAGCTCACTTGGACTGTATTAGTTGTCAAACTGGGTTGGTACAGGGCTCAATGCATTTTAGCACAGTATGTCGGACAGTGTGTTGATTGTACCACTGTGACTTAGCACCAGGACTGCAAAGGTAGCTAGAGGTTTAAGATGACAAATACATCTTGGAGTGTATAACTGAAGACAAAAATGGGTGCATGGGAGTGGACAGAAATACACAGAACTGAGGAGATTACAGAGTTGTAGCTGTTTGGGCAGCAGGTCTTTCTGAATTGTGCTGGTGACAATTCTGGCTTCCAGACGAGACCAGTTTCTGGAAGGCACAGGTGAAATATAAAGCCATCTTAATTCTGTGCTAAGCCTCTATATGCAACAGGGAAGACTTTCACCTATGAAGTGAAGTGACACTGGTACACCACTGCAGGATCCAGAACCAGATACTGTCATGCATGACACTGTAGAGTACAGGAGTTTCTGCAATAGCAGTGAAGTCAATAGCAAATTGCAGTACCTAAAGAAATTCTGGAAACAGAATGAGCTTCACAAACAGCAGAGGACTGACTT